ATACATTAAAGACAACTGGAGGAAATAAGCATTTGGCTTTTTGATGACCCTTTTGTCTCTGAATCTAAATTTGTAAATTTCTTGTTTGTCTACTGACATTCCTAAAACAGGCACAGGAAAAAAAAAATCATTCTTGTGGTATCTCTCTGGTTTATCTTTTCTGCCCTAGTTTGCTTTTAACAGCGATGCTTTGTTGTTTTCCTTTATGTATTGTCTATGCGTTGGCATTGTTGAACATTTCTTTGGCATCTTTATTTTGATAATTCACAATTAAACAGCTTAGCTTTCACAATTGCTGAGCATGTTACCTTGGTAAAGAAGCTCTGCTACAGTGTCTGAGAGAAACAATATAGAAATTTGAGTTGTGCTGCAATCTGGGGGGAAAATCTGCCATTTATTTTCTATTCCTGTGCTCACCATAGGGAGTGGACCTCAAGGGGAATATATCAATATTTAGACCAGCTTAGAACTTTACTCTTATTAAGTCATCCCAAGACCATGATGTGGTCCAGAACATCTCCACTACTTTTCTCTTGGCAGAATCTGTCATATGATGTTTTTAGCAATTGTTTTGGCAAAAACAGTGAAAAAAATGAGGAGCATACACACAGGGGTCTCTAAAGAATTTATAATAGATATTAGATCGTATTCTGAGTAGACAGGCCTATTGTATGGTCAGAAATACATCTTCTATAAAAAAAGAAAATTGGCATCAATGAAAAGCCAGAGCTGAAAGTGATGGACTCATTCCCATAGCTGGAATGAGTGTGCAAAATTGTTAGAATTGTATCTCTTCTATAGGGAAGAAACTTAAAAAAAATTGAAACAAGTATTTATCATTTATGATCCATTCATTGTTCAGTATTTGGTGCATGAATACCATGCCTTACTTTTATGTGAAGACGATAAAATCTCCCCATTTTAAACACAGTAAGAATTTTGAGTTAAGAACATATTATCTCGTCTTTTTTTGTAACCAGTGCAATAAATTTGCATGGTAGTAAAAAGTTGAGCCATATTTTTGTTCCATTTTTTAAGTCATATTCTATTATATGGTATTTTAAGATACCCAGTAGGTGTTCTTGCTTTATGCGTAGTAGGTGTTTAATAAGGAATGCTGCTGGATTAAATGGGGTTGTAAGGTGGATCCCACTATAGCTACATTGAAATCCTGATTTAGTACTAATGTTTGGAGACCTGAGTTTCAGAAGATCACAACCTGTAACATAAAAGTTAGATGGGAGACATAATTGGGATTTTCTTTTGGATGATCAAGTTTGCCTGATTTTTTTTTTTTTTTTAATTTGTCCCAAGTGTTTTCCTTAAAAACAGGAGCATTCCCACAGAGTCCTTGTATGATATGTACCAGGTGGTCAGAGGAGAGTTCTGGAGCTCATTAATCCAACTGCCCTTGATTTCTGCTTAAGCTATTTCAGCGAAGATTTATATTTATATACACTGAAAAGCATTAAAATAAAAACAATATAATCAAAAATGGAAAGACTAGCTTTGGGATAACTGAGAAAATGAAAAATTTTGTATTTTGTAACTTGATTCAAAATACAAATTTTCTAAAAAATTATTACTTTATAAAAGGCAAGAAAAATGAAGGATTCTTACAAAAATTCCATATAATCTTGAAGAAAAAAACCTCAGAGGTTTAAAAGCAGCACATATACTGAGGATCCATAAGCCAAGTAATTGAATATTTACTTAGGTTACTAAGAAAAAATTTGGACATTTCAGAGACTTTCTGTCTTACTATAAAAGAATGTGTTTATATTCCTGATCATGTTAGCTATATTAGAATTCATGAGATCCCATAAATAGTTTAACCTGACTGACACTATGTTGACTTCAATAGATACTTTTTTTTCTTCTCAGATTCTAGAGATGGAACAGTAGAAGTTGTAGTAAAATTCTTACATCTTTGAAACATTGTCACTTTAAAAATGAATAAGATATCATAGTTTCTTTTATTGTCTGGCTTATATTTCAGATGAAAGAAAATATATCTGATGAGGCCTAATATCCAAAATATATAAAGAAATCATAAAACTCAATAGCAAAAAAAAAAAAAAAAACCAATCAGTTTAAAAAAAGGGCAGAGGATCTGAATAAACATTTTTCCAAAGAAGACATACAGGTGGCCAACAGGTACATGAAAAGATGCTCAATATAACTAATCATCAGGGAAATGCTAATCAGAACCACAGTGAATGGTCACCTCACACCTATTATAATGGCTATTATCAAAAAGACAAGAAATAACAAGCGTTAGAAAGGATGTGTAGAGAAAAAGGAACTCTTGTGCACTATTAGTAGGAATGTAAATTGGTGTAGGCACTATGAAAAACAGTATGGAGGCTCCTCAAAAAATTAAAAATAGAATTTCTGTATGATCCAGCAGTTCCATTTCTGGGAATATATCCAAAGGAAATGAAAACACTAGCTTGAAAAGGTATCTGGTACCCCCAGGTTCATAGCAGCATTATTTACAATGTAGCCAAAACATGGAAATAACCTAAGTGTCCACTGATGGGTGAATGGATAAAGAAATGTGTGATACATATAATGGAATATTACTCAGCCATAAAAAAGAATGAAATCTTACATATGTGACAATATGAATGAACCTTAAAGGAATTATGCTGTGAGATCAGTCAGACACAGAAAGATAAATATCATATGATCTCTCTTATATGTGGAATCTAATAAATAAATAAATAAATAAATAAATAAAACAAAAAAACAAGCTCTTAGATACAAAGAACAGATTGGGGGTTGCCAGAGGTAGGGGGTGGAAATGGTTGAAATTGGTGAAGGACGTCAAAAGGTACGTATTTCCAATTATAAAATAAGTAAGTCTTGGGAATATAATATACAAATTGATGACTATTGTTAATAATACTGTATTTGAAAGTTACTACGAGAGTACACCTTAAAAGTTCTCATCACAAGAAAAAAAATTTGTAACTATGATGGTGACAGACCTTAACTAGACTTACTGTGGTGATCATTTTGCGACAGCATACAAATACTGAATCATTACATTGTACACCTGAAACTAATGTAATATGTCAATCACATCTCAAAAAAAGAAAGAAAATAAATACAATTAATTTTATCTGTGGATCTGTGATATAATATAATTGATAAAACTTAGAGATAATATTTATGTTAAAAATATGATCTCTTTGGACATACAACTCTAGATTTTAAATATTTTGTCTCAACATACTGGAAATATCTGTCTTCTGGCTTCTATTGGTGCTTTTGAAAAGTAAACACTGGCTAATTCTTAGTAGTGGATAAGTAGGTATACTGGAAACTTTGAGTCTGGTTGTTAAAGAATGGGAGGTTTGAAATCAAGGTTTCTGATGTAGCATCGATTCTGATAATGATAATGTCTAGACTATACTTCTGAGAATGGATGATTGCAGAGGAATGGCTGAATAGATCCTCATTTTAATGTTCAGAAAGCTATTGTATATTTACCCAAGTAGTGAATGAGATATGGTCTTAAAGAACATTAAACTTTTGAAAGGAATTTTACCCTATACATTGAGGAGACCTGGCTCATATAACCCATGCTCCATTTTAGTATCAAATTTTGTTTTAAATCAGCTTTATTGGTAAACTGGAGTCAAATAATTATAGGTACTTGACTGGCAATTGACTGATATTTTATTGCCCACTAAGCCTTGGTATCTGAGTGTAACGAAGGCAATCATTGCTCACCAGCAGTGGAAATAAATTTCTGACCGAAATAAATGGCTGGGGAATGTGGTAGAAGGCCTCATGAAAATGTATCAAATATTATCTTAGTATCTGGCTCTCCACTTTTTCCCGTAATCTTTTAAAATCCTTGATGGCATGATCTTGTTACTTCTTCCCTAAACACTTCCCACCCACAAATACAGTTTGTTCGCAACCTCATTGTCTTGCTTCTGGTAATATGTGGTATTAGGAAAGTATGTTACTGACCCACTGGCATTAACGTATGCATAATATTTGAATTGTAATAGCTCTTAAGTCAAGGAATGGACCTTTCTAGCATTTAAGAAATAAAACATTTTTAGTAGTGGGCTGTTTGAAACCTCTGAAATAACATGTCAGTTCTCACCTACTGTATAAGTGAGCAAAGTTGACTAACAATTATCAGAAGAAATTAAGTAATATAATTTTTGTGTGTATTATATATAAATACATATATTTCATATATACTTATAAATACATATGCTTTAACAAAATCTTTAGAAGAGGGGTGCCTGGGTGGCTCAGTTGGTTAAGCGTCTGCCTTCGGCTCAGGTCTTGATCCCAGGGTCTTGGGATCAAGCCCCGCATCAGGCTCCGTGCTCAGCGGGGAGTCTGCTTCACCCTCTGCCTGCCGCTCCCCCTACTTGTGCTCTCTCTCTCTGTGTCAAATAAATAAATAAATAAATAAAATCTTTTAAAAAAAATCTTTAGAAGAGGAAAAAATTAATAGGTGGTAAACTAGAGACACACAATAGCCACATTTATATATTGGAACTTGATGATCATTTCTTATTTATTTATTTATTTAAAAGATTTTATTTATTTGACAGAGAGAGACACAGTGAGAGAGGGAATGCAAGCAGGGGGAGTGGGAGAGGGAGAAGCAGGCCTCCCACCGAGCAGGGAGCCCGATGCGGGGCTCGATCACAAGACCCTGGGATCATGACCTGAGCCGAAGGCAGACGCTTAACAACTGAGCCACCCAGGTGCCCCTTGATGTATCATTTTTTAATTTAATAAAGACTACATGTCCCAGAAGCTAGTAAAAAAAAAGAACAAAATTCTTAGAAATTCAAATACATTAGTGAATTATGATAAAATTCACTAATGTATGATACAAATATGATTAAACCAGTAATTACAGTGGTACACTGATTAATGATCTTATTAACTGATCTTTCTCTAATGGGCATATATTTATAATTTAACTATTAACCTTTTGTGTTTTTCTTCCTTCCCAGTGCTAAAGAACCCGGTGTGTAAATTATATAGATTTCCCACATCTGACAATAAGTGGATGCGAATCCGGGAGCAGATGTCAGAGAGCATACTTTCTTTTCATATTCCTAAGGAATTGATTTCTCTTCACATAAAAGAAGATTTGTGTAGGTAAGAGAAAATAATTTGCGATTGTCTCTCACATTATTTTTTCTGTAAAACATTTTTTCTTAAAGTATGATTATAACATAAAAATCTCGACTTGCCATTGTCCAGTATTGGTGGCCACTAACCCTGCTGGCTGTTAATCATTTGAAATGCTACTAGTCCAATTTGAGATGTTCTTGATGTATAAAATACAGATTTTGAATTCTTATCACACAAACAGAAAAAGACTGACTTTATAATGCAATATTAAAATTTAGGGTATTTTAGGGTTAAATAAAATATATTATTAATTTCATCTGCTTTTTTTAACTTTAAAAATATGAGTACAAGAAAGTTTAAAATTACATATATGACTCTCATTTATGGCTTGTGTTATACTTCTATTGTATAGTTGGTGTCTAGCTAATAACCTGAGTTTTGACCTTGCTAATAATCCTTTTGTCTTTACCTCATCTGCTTATGATTACTGTTTCTGTAAGAAATTCCTACTTGACTGTTCTTTGGACTACTCATCTGTAACAAGACTCTCAGATATTTTTGGTCTAAAAACTTGTATTTATTTATTTATTTTTTTAAGAGAGAGAGCGTGGGGGAGGAGCAGAGGGAGAGAGAGAATCTTAAGCAGGCTCCCTGCCCAGCGTGGAGCCCAATGCGGGGCTCAGTCTCATGACCCTGAGATCAAGACCTGAGCTGAAATCAAGAGTCAGCCGCTTAGCTGTGCCATCCAGGCACCCCCTTAGATGACTGATAAAGTATGCTATATGAATGGACAATGTCGTCATACAGCAAACTTTAATCTGTTGCCATAATAAAACAGAAAGATCTGGGAACTGATTGTTAATAAGAATATCTCTGAGCCATGACAACTCGAACAATTTATTTTTCCACCTTATAAACCTCTAGTGACTTTAAAAATACTGAATACTACATTATATTAAATACTGTTAAGGCTGTAAATTTCAGAAAATTGGCAAATATTTTTGTAACATTTGTAATTGATGAAATACATAGCAAAGTGTGAAATGTCTAAAATTTGGATCTCTGGCCTATGTCCACATTAATACACCAAGTTACTTAATAGTAGTGTACCCTTTCAGTAGACTCTGTAGTCCCCAAGCATGTTGTATTGATCTAAACCAGTGAGCAAACAATGGACAAGGCAGGTCAAATCTGGCAGTATTACAGTATATTTTAGGGTAGGAATGACTGCACAAATACTATATTTCTGAGTGAGGAGTAAGAGAAAGAAAAAGAAAAGAAAACAGAGAGCCTAGATTTTAGAGAAAATCAGACAGGAAACTGGGTTGTAAGAAAACAGCCTGGATTGAGGGGAAATAAAGATTGAAAGAGAGACAGAAGATAGATATTTGAGAGTAGCAGATTGAGGATAATCAGACCACAGAAATCAGATGAAAGGTATTGTCTCAGGACAAGAGAAGCTGTAACATGTTCAAGAACCTAAGTTGACTACCTATAAGAGCTGGCTACAAGGATGAATTAATGTAAGCCAAATTATTCAATATTATCCTTACCTAGAGCTAGTACTAAGCGTATGTAATGGGCAAAACAAATTCCCAGGAAGGATAAGCAAACTTAGGGAGTTTGGATCTTTGAAGTCATAAAAGAATTATCAACCTCAGCATTGTTACATTTTACATTTACATGTTACATGTAACATGTTACAATTAACATTGTTACATTGTTACATTCGAGATTATGGGACACTAAGAACCATTCCTACTAGTGTCATTTCACATGGTAGATCACATTTCACATGGAAGGTTTGGAAAGGATTACTGTTCCTCACAGCGGTTGCAGAATAAGGAAGAAGTCCGTAGACAAGCATGAGTTAGAGGTCATCACAGTGCCTTTATTTCAGCTGAGAACCACAGACGAGGATTTGATAGATGTGGTGGATTTAAGAAGTTAGAGTTAGACCTTGCCCTAAAAATAACTCCTGATAACGCAATCTAAGTTAGCCAGGCCTAAATTCTCACTAAAATATCTGTATCATGCCAGACCCTCCTGGCCAGCAAAGTTTCTGTTGAAAAATCCAATGATAGCCTTATGGGTTTGCCTTGTATGTAACTGTTTTCTTTTCTCTTGGTGGTTTTAAAATTCTCTATTTATCACTACTTTTGCCATTTTAAATACTGTATGTCTTGGTGTAGAGCTTCTTGGGTTGATCTTATTGGGGAGTTTCTGTGCCTGCTGGAACTAGATTTCTGTTTCCGTTCCCAAATTTAGGAAATTTTCAGCTATTATTTCTTCAAATAAATTTTCTGCCTTTTTTTTCTCTTCTTCTGGGATCCCTGTAATCTACTAATCGTGTTACTGGGTATTTACCTAAAGAATACAAAAACACTAATTCAAAGGAATACATGCACCCCTGTGTTTACTGCAGCATTATTTACAATAACCAAATTATGAAAGCAACCAAGTATGCATCAATAGGTGAATGGATAAAGCATATATATGTGTGTGTGTGTGTGTGTGTGTGTATACACACACACACAATAGAATTAGTCAGCCATAAAAAAGAATGAAATCTTGCCATTAGCTACAAATGGATGGATCTAGTGAGTATAATACTAAGTGAAATAAGTCAGTCAGAGGAAGACAAGTACCATATGATTTCACTCATATGTGGAATTTAAGAAACAAAACAAATGAACAAATAAAAAAAAAGAGACAAACCAAAAAACAAACCCTTAACTATAGAGAACAAACAGATGGTTACCAGAGGGGAGGTAAGTGGGGGGATGGGTGAAATAGGTGAAGGGGATTAAGAGTACAATTACTGTGATGAGCACTGAGTAATGTATGGAATTGTTGAATCACTACACCTGAAATGAATATAAAACTGTGTGTTAACTATGCTGGAATTAAAATTTAAAAAATAATCTATAAAGACACAAAAATTGGAAAATTACGACCATTCACAAAACATGGAAATCTATTAACATACTACTACATTGTTAAAATAAAAAAATAATACTACCTTATTATTATACTACATACTATTTATAACATAGTTGCTAATTATTAGAATAATGTTTTGGGTTGAAAATCTTTTTTTTAAGGTTTTTTTTTTTTTTTTTGAGAGAGAGAGGGAGCGAGGGCATGAGCAGGGGGAGGGGCAGACAGAGAAGCAGATACCCCACTGAGCAGGGAGCCCCACGCAGGGTTCAATCCCAGGACCCCTGGATCGTGACCTGAGCCAAAGGCAGACGCTTAACTGACAGAGCCACCCAGGCACCCAGGGTTGAAAATCTTAACTGACAGACCACTAATGCTATTTCATCTAAAACTATAGCAAGCTAGTGAGAAAGAGAATGAAGAGAAAGACTCCTAATATTGCCCCAGTCTGTTTTTTTTTTTTTTTTTTTAAGACTTATTTACTTATTTATTTGAGAGAGAGTGGGGATAGGGGCAGAAGGAGAGGGAGAGAGAGAATCCCAAGCAGACTCCCTGCTGAGCCCAAAGCCTGACATGGGGCTCAATCTCAGGACCCCAAGATCATCACTGGAAATAAAATCAAGAGTCAAACACTTAACTGACTGAGCCACCCAGGTGCCCTGCCTCAGTCTGTCTTTTGTCATTAGTTTAGAGACTCCCTTAAAAAGGCTGAGCAGCTGACCTTCTGCATGTCTACTACTTTTGAGTCCTCCACAGTGCTATCTTTAACCCCTATCTCCTCTCCACTCCTGTTAATATCTCTCTGTCTATCCATTCACTGACAGTAAATCCCAGGGGGAAATAATGAGTTAGGGGACAAGGAGAAAGCAGACTATTCCATATATCATCTGCTTTCTCCACCACCTTTTCTTTTTTTTTTAATTTTTTATTGTTATGTTAATCACCATACATTACATCATTAGTTTTTGATGTAGTGTTCCATGATTCATTGTTTGTGCATAACACCCAGTGCTCCATGCAGAACATGCCCTCTTTAATACCCATCACCAGGCTAACCAATCCTCCCACCCCACTCCCCTCTAGAACCCTCAGTTTGTTTTTCAGAGTCCATCATCTCTCATGGTTTGTCTCCCCCTCCGATTTCCCCCCCTTCATTCTTCCCCTCCTGCTGTCTTTTTTTTTTCTTAATATATTGCATTATTTGTTTCAGAGGTACAGATCTGTGATTCAACAGTCTTACACAATTCACAGCGCTCACCACAGCACATACCCTCCCCAATGTCTATCACCCAGCCACCCCATCCCTCCCACCCCACCCCCCACTCCAGCAACCCTCAGTTTATTTCCTGAGATTAAGATTTCCTCATATCAGTGAGGTCATATGATATATGTCTCTGATTGACTTATTTCGCTCAGCATAGCACCCTCCAGTTCCATCCACGTCGTTGCAAATGGCAAGATCTCATTCCTTTTGATGGCTGCATAATATTCCATTGAATATATATACCACATCTTCTTTATCCATTCATCTGTCAATGGACATCTTGGCTCTTTCCACAGTTTGGCTATTGTGGACATTGCTGCTATAAACATCAGGGTGCACGTACCCCTTCAGATCCCTACATTCGTATCTTTGGGGTAAATACCCAGTAGTACAATTGCTGGATTGTATGGTAGCTCACTTCTCAACTTTTTGAGGAACCTCCATACTGTTTTCCAGAGTGGTTGCACCAGCTTGCATTCCCCCAACAGTGTAGGAGGGTTTCCCTTTCTCCTCATCTCCGCCAACATCCGTCATTTCCTGACTTCTTAATTTTAGCCATTCTGACTGGTGTGAGGTGGTATCTCATTGAGGTTTTGATTTGGATTTCCCTGATGCCGAGAGATGTTGAGCACTTTTTCATGTATCTGTTGCCCATTTGGATGTCTTCTTTGGAAAAATGTCTGTCTTCTGCCCATTTCTTGATTGGATTATTTGTTCTTTGGGTGTTGAGTTTGATAAGTTCTTTATAGATTTTGGATACTAGCCCTTTATCTGATACGTCATTTGCAAATATCTTCTCCCATTCTGTCAATGTCTTTTG